CAGTCTAAACCTCCCCTGTTGCAGCTTGAAGCCATTCCCTCTTGTTCTGTTGCTAATTACCTGTGAAAAGAGACCAGCACCAACCTCTCTACAATGACCTTTCAGGTAGTTGTAGAGACTGATGAGGTCTCCCCTCAGCCTCCTCTTTCTCAAACTAAACATTCCCAGCTTCTTCAAGCATTCTTAGTAAGATTTATTCTCTAGGCCCTTCACCAGCTTCATTGCCCTCCTCTCCACTCACTCCAGCACTTCAATATCTCTCTTGAATTGAGGTGCCCAAAACTGGATGCAATACTCCAGGTGTGGCCTCATCAGTACAGGGGGACAATCACCTCTCTACTTCTGCTGGTCACACTATTTCTAATACAAGCCAGGATGCCACTGGCTTTCTTGGCCACCTGGGCACACTGCTGGCTCATACTCTGCCGCTTGTCAATTAGAACCCCCAAGTCCTTTTCCGCCAAACACTTTCCAGCCACACTTCCCCAGCCTGTAGCATATGCATGGGGTGTTGTGGCCCAACTGCAGGACCCAGCACTTGGCCTTCTTGAACCTCATACAATTGGCCTTGGTCCATCGATCCAGCCTGTCCAGATCTCTCTGCAGAGCCTTCTTACCCTCATATTCTGTTTTTGTGTTTTCCAGCTCAGTGTTTCACTTGGCACTTTGGGGGCTGTACCAACAGCAACATTGGACTCTACCATTACGGCTCTGGGAGAAATACCACAGCCACCAATTATGGGGAATGTGGACCCATCCAAAATTGATGAAATCAGAAGAACAGTCTATGTTGGAAACTTGAATTCACAGGTAGTTTTTCTTTTTATCAGCTGTGCTAATGGAAGATGTAGATTTTTAATTTATTAATTATAATCTTACATGTTAAGATGCCTATAAGCATTTAAATTAAAAAAAAAAAGCCAAACTCTTCTTGGTCACTAGTGATATTTCAAATTCTGATTGCTCCTTTGTCAGATCAGACCAGACTGTGCAATTCATTCTAGCAGGATACCAGAGAAATCACACTAGCTGAATTCAAAAACCATGAATGTGTGTGTTGATCAAATATCCAACTTGGTATTGTTAGCTGAACACTTCCTCAGAAGTTGTGAGATCATGTCTCCCACTGTGCAGTTGCATAAGTACAGTAAGAAGGAATGATTTCTCCTAGTGGAAGTTGCAAAATTTGCATAAATACCTTTGACTTTTCCAACAGGAAAGTTAGGTCTGTCAGAAATTTGTTTTTTCAGCAGTTGATTGAATTAATTGCAAAACGATTTGCTTTTGACTGTTGCCATTATAAGTATTTTATTTGGGTTTTTTTGACTGCCAAAGTGGCTACTAGAGTGTAAAAGTACTATCAATCACAATAAAATAAAACAACTGGAAGCTATTAGAAAAACATAAAAGTCAAGTCTTGTAATAGTCTTTGGATTTTTCTTTTTTTAAAATTGATTAAAATTCACAATCAATAGCTTGGACACAGGTGCATAAGGAAATTTCTCATCATTTATTTCAAATTAGTTGCCTGAAAAGTGCAAAATCCTATGCAAGACTTCAGGGTTTGAGGTTGCACTATTTTAAATTGTAATATATTCTTTGGATTAACGGAAGAAACAATACCATTCTCTCTTAAAGTGTAACATTATCAAATTCATGTAATGGTGAGATCTCTTTCCAAAATCTGTAGCTCTTACATTACCTGATATATTGGATAAGTGGTTTTAATTATATATTTTACTTCAGCTGAGCTCTTTGACTCTTTCTAGACTACAACAGCAGATCAGCTGCTTGAATTCTTTAAACAAGTTGGAGAAGTCAAATTTGTGCGAATGGCAGGTGATGAGACACAACCAACACGATTTGCTTTTGTGGAATTTGCAGACCAAAACTCTGTACCTCGTGCTCTTGCCTTTAATGGAGTTATGTTTGGAGACAGGCCACTGAAGTAAGAAATTAATTATCCATATGAATATTGACCGAGAGATTTATTAGTATCATTATACATTTATGACTCTGATGTGCAGGAAGCTGCTGTGATTAATATTTTTTCAATATAAGGACCTCTTTTTAGTAAAATGGAACACTTTTACAAACTCCAATATCGAGTTTGGACATAACTTTCTACAAGAATAATCTGGATGGCACTGAGTAAAATATTTCTATATCTAATCTTCACGGAATCACGGAATTGTCAGAGTTGAAAGGAACCTCTAGAGATCATCTAGTCCAACTCCCCCACTAAAGCAGAATTGCCTAGAACACATTACTCAGGACTGTATCCAGGTGGGTCTTGAATATCTCCAGAGAAGGAGACTCCACAACCTCCCTGGACAGCCTGTTCCAGTGCTCTGTCACCCTCACCGTTAAGAAGCTTTTCCTTATATTTAAGTGGAACTTCCTATGTTCCAGCTTCTGTCCATTGCCCCTCGTCCTGTCACTGGGAACTACTGAAAAGAGTCTGGCTCCATCCTCCTTGCACCCACCCTTTAGATATTTGTAGGCATTAATAAGGTCTCCCCTCAGCCTTCTCTTCTCCAGGCTAAAGAGTCACAGCTCTCTCAGACTTTCCTCATAAGGGAGATGCTCCAATACCCCAGTCATCTTTGTTGCCCTCCTCTGGACTCTCTAGTAGTTTCCTGTTTCTCTTGAACTGGGGACCCCAGAACTGGATGCAATATTCTAGATGTGGCCTCACCAGGGCAGAGTAGAGGGGGAGAATGACCTCCCTCGACCTACTGGCCACACTGCCTTATGCAACCCAGGATTCCATTTGCCTTCTTGGCAGCAAGGGCATGTTGCTGGCTCATTATTAACTTATTGTCTACCAGGACTCCCAAATCCTTCTCCTCAGAACTGCTTCCCAGCAGATCTACCCCTAACCTATATTGGTGCCTGGCATTCTTCCTCCCCAGGTGCAGGACCCTACACTTGTCCTTGTTGAACCTCATTAGGTTCTTCTCTGCCCAGCTCTCCAGCCTGTCCAGGTCACGCTGGA